AAACTAGATACCCTAGTGATGATTGTGGCCAAGTTTGGTTAAATTTGTCTCAGTTGTTTCAGGAGAGAAGATTTTTGTAAAAGATTACAAAAATTTACGAATAATTGTTAAATTTGACTTTAAAGGGCAATAACTCCTTATGGGGTCAATTGACCATATTGGTCATGTTGACTTCTTTGTAGATCTGACTTTGCTGAACATAATGGCTGTTTACAGTTTATCTCCATCTATAATAATATTCAAGATAACAAAAAACTGCAAAATTTCCTTAAAATTACTAATTCAGGGGCAGCAACCCAACAAAGGGTTGTCTGATTCATCTGAAAATTTCAGGGCAGATAGATCTTAACCTGATGAACATTTTTACCCATAGTCAGATTTGCTCTAAATGCTTTAGTTTCAGAGATATAAGCCAAAAACTGCATTTTACCCCTATGTTCTATTTTTAGCCATGTCGGCCATCTTGGTTGGCAGGCGGGGTCATCGGACACATTTTTAAAACTAGATACTAGACGGACGCCAAGTGATGAGAAAAGCTCACTTGGCCCTGTGGGCCAGGTGAGCTAATAAACCTAGTTTAAATAAAAAAATTGTAATGAATAAATACCTACATGTGAATAATCCTAATGTGCTATCTACAATGAAACCATTTTCATTGTCGAAGAGTGTAACATATTTAGGCGTTATCTGTAACAAAAACAAAAATTGTAAATTAGTATCAGCTTTAAATAGGGAATATTTGATGTTGCAATCAATTCAGAAATTAATGTGATGCATGTTTTATGTCAAATCCTAAATTGGAGACTAAAATATTTACAATTACTTATTACAGTAAATATTTGAATAAAAGAAATGTTCGACAAATTTGTAATAAAATTTTAAACTGTTGTTCAACGGGAAAACTGATTTTTGTTACCCAACACATATAAAAAGAGTTAAAAGTACAATTATAATGACCAAATACCTACATGATACAAATCTTCGTGTGCTGTATACCATGAAAGCATCTTCATTGTCTAGGAGGGTAACATATCTAGTCTGTATCTGTTACAAAAACAAAAACTCTAAATCAGTATCAGCTTTAAATAGAGAATATTGGTTGTTGCAATTAATTCAAAATTAATATGATGCATTTTTGATGAAAAATCCTAATCTGAAGAGAAGTATATAAACAATTTCTATACATTATCATTAAAATAATCTTCATAAGAGTATAAATTTGAATTGAAGAAATTTTAAATCAATTTGTAATCAAATCTAATTTAAGCTTCCAGGGAAAACTTATTTTTGTTACCTGCCAACCATATAAACATAGTTTAAAGTACAACTAAAAATACCAAATACCTACATGCTACGTATCCAGATGTGTGATCAATCTACCATGAAACCATCTTCATTGTCTAGGAGTGTAACATATTTCGGCTGTATCTATAACAAAACCAAATCATCAATTAGTATCAGCTTCAAATAGAGACTATTGGCTGTTGCAACAATTATAAAATAAATGTCACTCATATTTTATGTCAAATCCTAAATTGGACACAAGAATATTTAAAATTACTACACATTCATGTTAAAATTTACTTCACTAGATTATAAATTTGAACAAAAGAAATATGTACACTAATTTGAAATAATATTTTATTTAAGCTGTTGTTCCAGGTAAAACTGATATTTATTACCCAACACATATAAACATAGTCTAAAGTACAATTGTAATGACTACCTACATGTTAAACATCCTAATGTGCATCTACCATGAAACCATATTCATTGGGTAGGAGTGGAACATATCTGGGCTGTATCTGTTTCAAAAGAAAAAATTTAAATTAGCATCAGCTTTAGAGAATATTTAATGGCTGTTAAAAAAATTCAAAAATTAATGTGATTCATGTTTTATGTCAAATCTTAAATTACGGACAATTAATTTACAATTACTTATTCATTCTTATTAAAATATACCACATTTGAAATTCGAATAAAAGATATTTTAGACCAATCTGTAATAAAATTTTAAGCTATTGTTTCAGTGAAAACAGATTTTTATTGACTTCCAAATATTAACATAGTTTTAAGTACAATTGTAATGACCAAATACTTACATGTTGACTCTTCCTATCTGCCATGAATCCATCTTCTCTGTCTAGGAGTGCAACATATTTAGATGTATCTTTAACAAAAACTATAAATTAATATCAGCTTTAAATACAGACTATTTGCTGTTGCAATTTTTTCAGAATTTAATCTTTGCATGTTGGACAAGAATATTTATAATTACTATACATTCCATTAAGAATATATTTCATTAGAGTATAAATTTGAAGAAATTTTTTTGAGACCAATTTGTAATAAAGTTTCAAATTGGTTGATAATGAAATAGAGCCAGACAAAAAAACTAAATACATTTTACCATAAACACAAGTTATCATACTATGTAATCAGCTCTGCTGGGGGATCTGCTTTTACGAGATTAGCGCCCATTAAAATTCATCAATGTTATATCAAAATCTAAAGTTTGCTCTCTGCAGAGGTCTGCTTTTACGAGACCCATTTTAACATAAAGCATCTTTTTGTCAAACTGTTCAGGAAAAAACGGATTTTTATTACCTAACAAACATAAACATAAGTTTTAAGAACAATTGTAATGACCAAATACCTACATGTGCAACATCCTAATGTGTGAAAGCATCTTTCATGGTATAGGAGTGTTACATATTAAGGCTGTATAATCTGTAACAAAAACAAAAATTATTAATTAGTTTACGCTTTAAATCCAGACTCTTTGCTGTTGCAATCAATTCAGAAAATAATGTGATGCATGTTTTATGTTAAATCCCAAAATAGAGAAAAGTATATAATTACAATTACTATACGTTCTTATTAAAATATTCAGCATTAAGAGTATAAATTTGAATGAAAGAAATTTTAGACCAATTTGTTATAAAGCTTCAATCTGTTGTTTCAGGAAAAAACTGATTTTTATTACCTAACAAATATAAATATAGTTTGAAGGAAAATTGTAATGACCAAATACCTACATGTGACTTATCCTAATGTGCATCTGCAATGGAAGCATCTTTCATGGTATAGGAGTCTTACATATTTAGGCTGTATCTGTAATGAAAACAAAAAAAATAAACATTAATTTCAGCTTTTAATCCAGACTATTTGCTGTTGCAATCAATTCAGAAATTAATGTGATGCATGTTGTAATGTCAAATCCTTAATTGGAGACAAGAATTTTTACAATCACTATACATTCTTATTAAAATATATCTCATTACAGTGAATATTTCAATAAATGTAATGTAGGACCAATTTGTAATAAAATTTCAAGCTGTTGTTCCAGGAAAAACTGATTTTTATTACCTAACAAATATAAACACAGTTTTAAGAACAATTGTTATGAATAAAAACCTACATGTGACTAATCCTAATGTGCTATCTGCAATGGAAGCATCTTTCATGGTATAGGAGTCTTACATATTTAGGCAGTATCTGAAACAAAAACAAATATTTTAAATTAGTTTCAGCTTCAAAATCAAAGCTATTTGCTGTTGCAATCAATTCAGCAATTAATGTGATGCATGTTTTATGTCAAATCCTAAATTGGAGACGTATATTTACAATAACTATACATTCTTATTAAAATATACTTCATTAGGATATAAATAGGAATAAAAGAAATTTTAGACCAATTTGTTATAAAGCTTCAATCTGTTGTTTCAGTGAAAACTGATTTTAATGCCTAACAAATACTAGAGGCTCCAAGGAGCCTGTGTCGCTCACCTGATATTTTTATTTACAATTGATGCATGAAATAATGCAACCGTTATACATTTGCTTTAGTTTTCAGAGATACAAGTCAAAAACTGCATTTTCCCCCAAAGTTCTATTTTTAGCCATGTCTGACATGTTGGTTGGCAGGCAGGGTCATCGGACACATTTATTAAACTAGATACCCTAGTGATGATTGTGGCCAAGTTTGGTTAAATTTGTCTCAGTTGTTTCAGGAGAGAAGATTTTTGTAAAAGATTACAAAAATTTACGAATAATTGTTAAATTTGACTTTAAAGGGCAATAACTCCTTATGGGGTCAATTGACCATATTGGTCATGTTGACTTCTTTGTAGATCTGACTTTGCTAACATAATGGCTGTTTACAGTTTATCTCCATCTATAATAATATTCAAGATAACAAAAAACTGCAAAATTTCCTTAAAATTACTAATTCAGGGGCAGCAACCCAACAAAGGGTTGTCTGATTCATCTGAAAATACAGGGCAGATAGATCTTAACCAGATGAACATTTTTACCCATAGTCAGATTTGCTCTAAATGCTTTAGTTTCAGAGATATAAGCCAAAAACTGCATTTTACCCCTATGTTCTATTTTTAGCCATGTCGGCCATCTTGGTTTGCAGGCGGGGTCATCGGACACATTTTTAAAACTAGATACCCTAGTGATGATTGTGGCCAAGTTTGGTTAAATTTGGCCCAGTCGTTTCAGAGGAGATTTTTGTAAAAGTTAACGGACGACGACGGACGCCAAGTGATCAGAAAAGCTCATTGGCCCTGTGGGCCAGGTGAGCTAATAAACCTAGTTTAAATAAAAAAATTGTAATGAATAGATACCTACATGTGACTAATCCTAATGTGCTATCTACAATGAAACCATTTTCATTGTCGAAGAGTGTAACATATTTAGGCGTTATCTGTAACAAAAACAAAAATTGTAAATTAGTATCAGCTTTAAATAGGGAATATTTGATGTTGCAATCAATTCAGAAATTAATGTGATGCATGTTTTATGTCAAATCCTAAATTGGAGACTAGAATATTTACAATTACTTAACTTATTACAGTAAATATTTGAATAAAAGAAATGTTCGACAAATTTGTAATAAAATTTTAAACTGTTGTTCAACGGGAAAACTGATTTTTGTTACCCAACACATATAAAAAGAGTTAAAAGTACAATTATAATGACCAAATACCTACATGATACAAATCTTCGTGTGCTGTATACCATGAAAGCATCTTCATTGTCTAGGAGGGTAACATATCTAGTCTGTATCTGTTACAAAAACAAAAACTCTAAATCAGTATCAGCTTTAAATAGAGAATATTGGTTGTTGCAATTAATTCAAAATTAATATGATGCATTTTTGATGAAAAATCCTAATTTGAAGACAAGTATATAAACAATTTCTATACATTATCATTAAAATAATCTTCATAAGAGTATAAATTTGAATTGAAGAAATTTTAAATCAATTTGTAATCAAATCTAATTTAAGCTTCCAGGGAAAACTTATTTTTGTTTCCTGCAAACCATATAAACATAGTTTAAAGTACAATTAAAAATACCAAATACCTACATGCTACGTATCCAGATGTGTGATCAATCTACCATGAAACCATCTTCATTGTCTAGGAGTGTAACATATTTCGGCTGTATCTATAACAAAACCAAATCATCAATTAGTATCAGCTTCAAATAGAGACTATTGGCTGTTGCAACAATTATAAAATAAATGTCACTCATATTTTATGTCAAATCCTAAATTGGACACAAGAATATTTAAAATTACTACACATTCATGTTAAAATTTACTTCACTAGATTATAAATTTGAACAAAAGAAATATGTACACTAATTTGAAATAATATTTTATTTAAGCTGTTGTTCCAGGTAAAACTGATATTTATTACCCAACACATATAAACATAGTCTAAAGTACAATTGTAATGACTACCTACATGTTAAACATCCTAATGTGCATCTACCATGAAACCATATTCATTGGGTAGGAGTGGAACATATCTGGGCTGTATCTGTTTCAAAAGAAAAAATTTAAATTAGCATCAGCTTTAGAGAATATTTAATGGCTGTTAAAAAAATTCAAAAATTAATGTGATTCATGTTTTATGTCAAATCTTAAATTACGGACAATTAATTTACAATTACTTATTCATTCTTATTAAAATATACCACATTTGAAATTCGAATAAAAGATATTTTAGACCAATCTGTAATAAAATTTTAAGCTATTGTTTCAGTGAAAACAGATTTTTATTGACTTCCAAATATTAACATAGTTTTAAGTACAATTGTAATGACCAAATACTTACATGTTGACTCTTCCTATCTGCCATGAATCCATCTTCTCTGTCTAGGAGTGCAACATATTTAGATGTATCTTTAACAAAAACTATAAATTAATATCAGCTTTAAATACAGACTATTTGCTGTTGCAATTTTTTCAGAATTTAATCTTTGCATGTTGGACAAGAATATTTATAATTACTATACATTCCATTAAGAATATATTTCATTAGAGTATAAATTTGAAGAAATTTTTTTGAGACCAATTTGTAATAAAGTTTCAAATTGGTTGATAATGAAATAGAGCCAGACAAAAAAACTAAATACATTTTACCATAAACACAAGTTATCATACTATGTAATCAGCTCTGCTGGGGGATCTGCTTTTCCGAGATAAGCGCCCATTAAAATTCATTAATGTTATATCAAAATCTAAAGTTTGCTCTCTGCAGAGGTCTGCTTTTACGAGACCCATTTTAACATAAAGCATCTTTTTGTCAAACTGTTCAGGAAAAAACGGATTTTTATTACCTAACAAACATAAACATAAGTTTCAAGAACAATTGTAATGACCAAATACCTACATGTGCAACATCCTAATGTGTGAAAGCATCTTTCATGGTATAGGAGTGTTACATATTAAGGCTGTATAATCTGTAACAAAAACAAAAATTATTAATTAGTTTACGCTTTAAATCCAGACTCTTTGCTGTTGCAATCAATTCAGAAAATAATGTGATGCATGTTTTATGTTAAATCCCAAAATAGAGAAAAGTATATAATTACAATTACTATACGTTCTTATTAAAATATTCAGCATTAAGAGTATAAATTTGAATGAAAGAAATTTTAGACCAATTTGTTATAAAGCTTCAATCTGTTGTTTCAGGAAAAAACTGATTTTTATTACCTAACAAATATAAATATAGTTTGAAGGAAAATTGTAATGACCAAATACCTACATGTGACTTATCCTAATGTGCATCTGCAATGGAAGCATCTTTCATGGTATAGGAGTCTTACATATTTAGGCTGTATCTGTAATGAAAACAAAAAAAATAAACATTAATTTCAGCTTTTAATCCAGACTATTTGCTGTTGCAATCAATTCAGAAATTAATGTGATGCATGTTGTAATGTCAAATCCTTAATTGGAGACAAGAATTTTTACAATCACTATACATTCTTATTAAAATATATCTCATTACAGTGAATATTTCAATAAATGTAATGTAGGACCAATTTGTAATAAAATTTCAAGCTGTTGTTCCAGGAAAAACTGATTTTTATTACCTAACAAATATAAACACAGTTTTAAGAACAATTGTTATGAATAAAAACCTACATGTGACTAATCCTAATGTGCTATCTGCAATGGAAGCATCTTTCATGGTATAGGAGTCTTACATATTTAGGCAGTATCTGAAACAAAAACAAATATTTTAAATTAGTTTCAGCTTCAAAATCAAAGCTATTTGCTGTTGCAATCAATTCAGCAATTAATGTGATGCATGTTTTATGTCAAATCCTAAATTGGAGACGTATATTTACAATAACTATACATTCTTATTAAAATATACTTCATTAGGATATAAATAGGAATAAAAGAAATTTTAGACCAATTTGTTATAAAGCTTCAATCTGTTGTTTCAGTGAAAACTGATTTTAATGCCTAACAAATACTAGAGGCTCCAAGGAGCCTGTGTCGCTCACCTGATATTTTTATTTACAATTGATGCATGAAATAATGCAACCGTTATACATTTGCTTTAGTTTCAGAGATACAAGTCAAAAACTGCATTTTCCCCCAAAGTTCTATTTTTAGCCATGTCTGACATCAGACACATTTATTAAACTAGATACCCTAGTGATGATTGTGGCCAAGTTTGGTTAAATTTGTCTCAGTTGTTTCAGGAGAGAAGATTTTTGTAAAAGATTACAAAAATTTACGAATAATTGTTAAATTTGACTTTAAAGGGCAATAACTCCTTATGGGGTCAATTGACCATATTGGTCATGTTGACTTCTTTGTAGATCTGACTTTGCTGAACATAATGGCTGTTTACAGTTTATCTCCATCTATAATAATATTCAAGATAACAAAAAACTGCAAAATTTCCTTGAAATTACTAATTCAGGGGCAGCAACCCAACAAAGGGTTGTCTGATTCATCTGAAAATTTCAGGGCAGATAGATCTTAACCAGATGAACATTTTTACCCATAGTCAGATTTGCTCTAAATGCTTTAGTTTCAGAGATATAAGCCAAAAACTGCATTTTACCCCTATGTTCTATTTTTAGCCATGACGGCCATCTTGGTTGGCAGGCGGGGTCATCGGACACATTTTTAAAACTAGACACCCTAGTGATGATTGTGGCCAAGTTTGGTTAAATTTGGCCCAGTCGTTTCAGAGGGGATTTTTGTAAAAGTTAACGGACGACGACGGATGCCAAGTGATGAGAAAAGCTCATTGGCCCTGTGGGCCAGGTGAGCTAATAAACCTAGTTTAAATAAAAAAATTGTAATGAATAGATACCTACATGTGACTAATCCTAATGTGCTATCTACAATGAAACCATTTTCATTGTCGAAGAGTGTAACATATTTAGGCGTTATCTGTAACAAAAACAAAAATTGTAAATTAGTATCAGCTTTAAATAGGGAATATTTGATGTTGCAATCAATTCAGAAATTAATGTGATGCATGTTTTATGTCAAATCCTAAATTGGAGACTAGAATATTTACAATTACTTAACTTATTACAGTAAATATTTGAATAAAAGAAATGTTCGACAAATTTGTAATAAAATTTTAAACTGTTGTTCAACGGGAAAACTGATTTTTGTTACCCAACACATATAAAAAGAGTTAAAAGTACAATTATAATGACCAAATACCTACATGATACAAATCTTCGTGTGCTGTATACCATGAAAGCATCTTCATTGTCTAGGAGGGTAACATATCTAGTCTGTATCTGTTACAAAAACAAAAACTCTAAATCAGTATCAGCTTTAAATAGAGAATATTGGTTGTTGCAATTAATTCAAAATTAATATGATGCATTTTTGATGAAAAATCCTAATTTGAAGACAAGTATATAAACAATTTCTATACATTATCATTAAAATAATCTTCATAAGAGTATAAATTTGAATTGAAGAAATTTTAAATCAATTTGTAATCAAATCTAATTTAAGCTTCCAGGGAAAACTTATTTTTGTTACCTGCAAACCATATAAACATATTTTAAAAGTACAATTAAAAATACCAAATACCTACATGCTACATATCCAGATGTGTGATCAATCTACCATGAAACCATCTTCATTGTCTAGGAGTGTAACATATTTAGGCTGTATCTATAACAAAACCATACCATCAATTAGTATCAGCTTCAAATAGAGACTATTGGCTGTTGCAACAATTATAAAATAAATGTCGCTCATATTTTATGTCAAATCCTAAATTGGACACAAGAATATTTAAAATTACTACACATTCATGTTAAAATTTACTTCACTAAGATTATAAATTTGAACAAAAGAAATATGTACACTAATTTGAAATAATATTTTATTTAAGCTGTTGTTCCAGGTAAAACTGATATTTATTACCCAACACATATAAACATAGTCTAAAGTACAATTGTAATGACTACCTACATGTTAAACATCCTAATGTGCATCTACCATGAAACCATATTCATTGGGTAGGAGTGGAACATATCTGGGCTGTATCTGTTTCAAAAGAAAAAATTTAAATTAGCATCAGCTTTGGAGAATATTTAATGGCTGTTAAAAAAATTAAAAAATTAATGTGATTCATGTTTTATGTCAAATCTTAAATTACGGACAATTAATTTACAATTACTCTTTCATTCTTATTAAAATATACCACATTTGAAATTCGAATAAAAGATATTTTAGACCAATCTGTAATAAAATTTTAAGCTATTGTTTCAGTGAAAACAGATTTTTATTGACTTCCAAATATTAACATAGTTTTAAGTACAATTGTAATGACCAAATACTTACATGTTGACTCTTCCTATCTGCCATGAATCCATCTTCTCTGTCTAGGAGTGCAACATATCTAGATGTATCTTTAACAAAAACTATAAATTAATATCAGCTTTAAATACAGACTATTTGCTGTTGCAATTTTTTCAGAATTTAATCTTTGCATGTTGGACAAGAATATTTATAATTACTATACATTCCATTAAGAATATATTTCATTAGAGTATAAATTTGAAGAAATTTTTTTGAGACCAATTTGTAATAAAGTTTCAAATTGGTTGATAATGAAATAGAGCCAGACGAAAAAACTAAATACATTTTACCATAAACACAAGTTATCATACTATGTAATCAGCTCTGCTGGGGGATCTGCTTTTACGAGATTAGCGCCCATTAAATTCATCAATGTTATATCAAAATCTAAAGTTTGCTCTCTGCAGAGGTCTGCTTTTACGAGACCCATTTTAACATAAAGCATCTTTTTGTCAAACTGTTCAGGAAAAAACGGATTTTTATTACCTAACAAACATAAACATAGTTTTAAGAACAATTGTAATGACCAAATACCTACATGTGCAACATCCTAATGTGTGAAAGCATCTTTCATGGTATAGGAGTGTTACATATTAAGGCTGTATAATCTGTAACAAAAACAAAAAATATTAATTAGTTTACGCTTTAAATCCAGACTCTTTGCTGTTGCAATCAATTCAGAAAATAATGTGATGCATGATTTATGTTAAATCCCAAAATAGAGAAAAGTATATAATTACAATTACTATATGTTCTTATTAAAATATTCAGCATTAGAGTATAAATTTGATTGAAAGAAATTTTAGACCAATTTGTTATAAAGCTTCAATCTGTTGTTTCAGGAAAAACAAACATATCCAAGAATGTGAGGTCAAAGTCAAATAAACCAAACTAGAAATACATGTAAATATTACAATCATTCCATTAACCAAATATGCTTTTAATATATTTGACCTATTGCACTTCAATCAAACAAACTTAACCAGGAAAACTTAACCATGATCAATGATCCATGAAAATGTGGTCAAGATCAGATGAACCCTGCCAGACAGACATGTACACCTTACAATCATTACATGCTTTAAATATAGATGACCTATTGCATATAGTATCTCAGAAACAAACTTAACCAGGAAAACTTAAGATTGACTAATGAACCATGAAAATGAGGTCATGGTCAGATGATAATTGTCAGACAGATATGTACAGCTTTCAATCATTCCACACGCCAAATATAGTTGACCTATTGCTTAAAGTATTAGAAAAAAAGACCAAAAAACAAAATCTTAAAATTGAGCAATGAACCGTGAAAATGAGGTCAAATAAAACATGCCAGACTGACATGCACATCGTAAAATATTTTCATATACCAAATATAGTTGACCTATTGCATTCAGTATCTAGAGGCTCTCAAGAGCCTGTGTCGCTCACCTGTATTTACTGATGCTTTGGAAATCATGTAAAATAAGGTTAAAATCATAATTAATAGTATAAGATATTAGATATTAAAAATGTTATCTAAGATAATAACAAAAAACTTCAAAATTTTTGTAAAAAATTACTAACTCAGGGGCAGCAACCCAACAACGAGTTGTCGGATTGGTCTGAAAATTTCAGGGCAAATAAATCTAAATCTGACGAACTTTTTTGCCCAAGTCAGATTTGCTCTAAATGCTTTAGTTTCAGAGATATAAACCAAAAACTGCATTTTACCCCTATGTTCTATTTTTAACCAAGTAGGCCATGATGGTTGGAAGGCGGGGTCATCGGACAAATTTTTTAAACTAGATACCCTAATAATGATTATGGCCAAGTATGGTTAAATTTGTCTCAGTAGTTTCAGAGTAGAAGATTTTTGTAAAGTAAAAAGATAACAAAAATTTACAAAAAAATGTTAAAAATTGACTATTAAGGGCAATAACTCCTAAAGGGGTCGACTGACAATTTTGGTCATGACAACTTATTTGTAAGATCTTACTTTGCTGAACATTATTGCTGTTTACAGTTTATCTCTATCTATAATAATATTCAAGATAATAACCAAAAACTGCAAAATTTCCTTAAAATTACCAATTCAGGGGTAGCAACCCAACAACAGGTTGTCAGATTTGTCTGAAAATTTCAGGGCAGATAGATCTTGACCTGATAATCAGTTTTACCCTTGTCAGATTTACTCTAAATGCTTTGGTTTCAGAGATATAAGCCAAAATCTACATTTTACCCCTATGTTCTATTTTTAGCCATGGCAGCCATCTTGGTTGGTTGGCGAGGTCATCGGACACATTTTTTAAACTAGATACCCTAGTGATGATTGTGGCCAAGTTTGGTTAAATTTGGCCCAGTGGTTTCAGAGGAGATTTTTGTAAAAAGCTAACGACGACGGACTACGACGACGGAAGACGGACGCCAAGTGATGAGAAAAGCTCACTTGGCGCGTCGGGCCAGGTGAGCTAATAATAAAACAGACGAGAACACAAAAACTTAACTTTGACCACTGAACCATGAAAATGAGGTCAAGGTCAGATAACACCTGCCAGTTGGACATGTACACCTAATAATCATTCCATACACCAAATATATTAGACCTATTGCTTATAGTATCTCTGATATGGACTTGACCATGAAAACTTAACCTTGTTCACTGATCCATGAAACGAGATTGCTGTCAAGTGAAAACTGTATGATGGGCATGACGACCTTGCAAGGTACGCACATACCAAATATAGTTATCCTATTACTCATAAGAGAGAAATTAAGAATAAAATCATAACATTTTTTTCAAGTAGTCACTGAACAATGAAAATGAGGTCAAGGACAATGGACATAGGACAGAAGGAAACTTCTGAACATAAGGCATCTATGCACTAAGTATGAAGGATCCAGGTCTTCTTCCTTCTGAAATATTACTGTTTTAAGAAGTTAGCTAACGCGCTGCCGCCAGATCACTATCCCTATGTCGAGCTTTCTGTGACAGAAGTCACAGGCTTGACAAAAAGTAACAGATGATGACCAAAAGACAAATTGAGGTTTTGTTTTATTGGTGCATGAAATTGTGTCCTCCATTTGGATATAAAAAAACTGGCAAAAAACATGGTTTTTAAAGCTCAAATACATTTATTTATATACAGTACATATCTATGTCGTGCAAATTTCTCTGAAACTCATTCAGCCCAAGTTTGTCTGAAATTGATTCAGCAATTTCAAATGAGACGATTTTTTTTAAAGTAAGCAAACTAGATGAACAAATTGTGAAAAATTGTTTTTGAAGGGCAATAACATCTCAAGAGGACAATTGACAATTTTGGTCATTAAACTTATTTGTAGATCTTACTTCACTGAACATTTTTGCTGTTTACAGTTAACTATCTTTATCATTAATAATATTCAAGATAATAACTGAAAACTGCAAAATTTCCTTAAAATCATCAATTCAGAGGCATGCAATAACCTAAAAATCAGATACCCGATTTGGCTGATTATTTCAGGACAGGTAGCTATATATATAGACCTTGATCTAATGAATACTTTAACTTCTTGTCTGATTTGCTCTAAATGCTTTAGTTTTTGAGATATCAGTCAATAAACTGTTAACACAGAGATATGTCTCGCCTTTTTGTTATTTTGATAATGGAAATGTTGAAATTAAAATAGCAGTACTTTAAAATGTAAGTTGTGCAAATATTCAAAGTCAATGAACCATGACTGAAGGTACAGGGCTAGAACAATCTCCATGGAAATGAGATGTGCCAATGCTAATACAACTGCAAACCAAATACCATTGACTTTTCGTAAGTCGTTCCCTTTAAACAAACCTAAACACAAACATTGACTTGTAAACTATGTAAAAGTTTCAAAGTCAATGAACCGTAATAAGGGGGTGGCCTGGGGTTATATAATCTCAATTGAAATGAAACTTGCAAATGCCAATACATTTGCATAAAGAATATCATTGACTTAACATTTGTGGTTCATCTTAAACTGAACTAATCACAAACTAATACATGTAAACTAAGCAAAAGTTTCAAAGTCAATAGACCATGACTGAGGGGTAGGGACCAAATATTCTCCATAGAAATGAGATGTGCTAATCTTTATACAACTGCATACCAATTATCATTGACATACCATTAACGGTTCCCCTTAAACTGACCTAATCACAAACTAATACATGAAAACTAAGCAAAAGTTTCAAAATCAATAGACCATGAATGAGGGGGTGGGGCCAAATAATCTCCATGAAAATGAGATATGTCAACGCTTATACAACTGCATACCAAATATCATTGACCTAACACTAGTGGTTCCCCATAAACTGACCTAATCACAAACTAATATATGTAAACTAAGCAAAGTTTCAAAGTCAATAGACCTTGACTGAAGGGGCAGGGCCAAATAATCTCCATGGTAATGAGATGTGCTAATGCTAATACAACTGCATACCAAATATCATTGACCTACCACTAGTGGATCACCATGAACTAGACCTAATCACAAACTAATACATTGTTGACGCTGCAGCCTCCATCGCCGGAAACAGCATATCTATGTCTTGCTTTTTGACTCAGTCAAGGCGAGACAAAAACTGCATTTTACCCTATGTTCTATTTTTAGCCATGGCGACCATGTTTTCTGAGGAAACTGAAAATAAATTTTTAGCCATGTCAGCCCTGTTTTCTGAGGAAACTGAAAATAAAACACAAACTTTAAGGAGTCAATTGACAATTTTGGTCATAATAAAACTTATTTGTAGATCTTACTTTGCTGAACATTTTTGCTGTTTATCTTCATCTATAATAGTATTCAAGATAATAATCAAAAACTGCAAAATTTCCTTAAAGCAAGAAATGATTGTAACAGGATGCTGTTATGAAGTCTCCCAAAAGAAGCTCCCATAATTCGTAATTCCCAGGGTCGCCTGACATTGGACAAAGTTCAGTAAAAATTGGTTTGGTCCAGTAAAGTTATATGCATTAGTGATGCCTGGGGACTAACCCTGTATATCATTCAAATCATCTTGGCATGACAAACAAGAATATATATGGTTTAGGGGTAGGGATCTCGACCATTTACAAGATACTAGAACATTGGGGGTGGGGGGAACCCCTGGGGACTGACCCTATACGTCATTCAAATGTTCGAGACATGACAAACAGGAATATATATGGTTTAGGGGTGGGGATTTCGACCATTTGCACAATATTAGAACATTGGGGGTTGGGGGGAACCCCTGGGGACTGACCGTTTACGTCATTCAAATGTTCGAGACATGATGAACAGGAATATATATGGCTTATGGGTGGGGATCTCGACCATTTACAAGAAATTAGAAATTTCTCAAATGGCAGGGGGTCGGGATGACCCCTGGGGACTAACCCTGTATATCATTCAAACCATCTTGGTATGACAAACCAGAATATATATGGTTTAGGGGTGGGGATCTTGACCACTTACAAGATATTAGAACTTTCTTAAATGGCAGGGGGTGGGTTTGACCCCTGGGGACTAACCCTGTATTTCATTTGATGTGCTTTATCATGACAAACCAGAATATATATGGTTTAGGGGTGGGGATCTCAACCGTTTACAAGATATTAGAACTTTC